ATTTCCAGCCTCAGAAACCTAGCAGTTCTACTCTATCCAGTAGGGTTGCTGTGGGTCAAAATCAACTCAGATGCAGTGGGGTAGGGTTTCTTTTATAGTTTCATTTAAAATAGTTAAATATTTAATCCACTTGGAATTTATTTTGGTGAAATAAATAAGTTAAGGGTCCAGCTTTATTTTTTCTCCCAAAGAGCTAATCCGTTATTATTGTTGAGTGAATCATTACTATCTTGACATAAAATGCCACATTTACCCTATACCAATTCCTCCTTTTGTGTATTCTGGACTTTCTCTATTATCCCACGGTGCTGGTTTTTCTCATCCAGTTCCAAGATGTTAAAAGCGAGTCTTCTACTTGCTATATTTCAGAATTCTCCTGGGTATTATAAATGATTTGTTCTTCTAGGTCAGGATTTCTCAATAGCTACTATATTGACATTTTGAATTAAATAATTCTCTTGTGCAGCCTGTCCTGGGTATTGTAGGATATTGAGCCACACCCTAGTTCTCTATCAACCATATGCAGTAGTGTCTCCTGTCTCTCCTAGTTGTGACAACAAAAAAATACCCCCTGATGTGTCAGCTGTTCTCTAGAAAGTAAAATTAATTAACCTGTTGAAAACTATTGTAATGTTCTTCCAGTCCCAAGTTCCCACTGATATGAGGGTAAGTCAAAAACTATTGCTATGGGATCAGAGAAACCTTTATTAAACAGAAACATCATAATATGAAGCTATTGTTTTCTCGGTGTATCCTCCGCCTAGGTCTCTGCATTCCTGAAGGTGCTGTCTCCGTCTCTCCAGCCCTCCCCTCAAAGCATTCTGTGCTCTTTGATCTACATCAGCTTGAGCATCCTCAAGGGAGTCAAATAGGGTTCCTTTGAAAACGACTTTGCATTTCGGGTGAGGAAAAGAAGTCTGAAGGAGTAAGACCATCCCTGTAAAGTGGGTGGGTTCTGATTTCCCAGTGGAATTCTTGTAGGCCAGCTCTTACCATCTTGATTAAAGAACCGGTGCACTGTCCTGATGAAAACAGATCCTTGGCTCAACTTTCCCAGCCCCTTTTCTCACATGACTGTCTTGGTACTTTGAGCAAATCTATTAAAATGATGCCTTTGGATCTACCCCCCCAATCAGCCTACATAACCTTCTGAGCTGAACTACCTGCCTTGAATTTACCTGGCCCAGCAGATCTGCTTTTAAAGATCCACTGTTTGGATCTTTAAAAAAAAACAAAAACATTTTTTAAGGCACCCTAACAAGACAACGACAAATGAGAATTTGTCAGCACCCATCCACAGATCACAGACACATTTGTAAACACCTTTTGTTTGGAAACCAACCAACCAGCCATGCATCTATGAACTGGAACCCCACTAGCGAAACTTTGGACTTACCCTTGTATTTTGCGATGAAAATAAATTCAGAGAATAATTTTCAACGCCTTTACTGAACAATTACATTATATTTAATCTTTTTACTCAAGAATCATTCATATGTATTTATCATTATCTTCTTTTATGTATTTCAACAGTTTTAAGAAGTTATTCTTACTCTGTTGGTATCATAAACATTCTATACACTTAATATTAGATTTATTCCTACTATTTCTTTTTGTAAAGAAACTTTTTGTTTCTTATAAATGGGACTTTTTCATAATGTTTTCTTTTTCTAACTAGTTAGTGGTCAGAAAATTACTGGTATTTTATGTTCTACAACCAGCTCTCCACTGAATTCTATAACATCTACTAGATCTCTAGGACATGCTAATCTTTTTCTAATGAAATAATTATCTGTTGCCTCATTTCTAATATTCACATACTTCTATAGTTCTGTCTCACCATCTTGATTAATACTTGCAATTTTAAATGACAGTTGGGATGGTGAATAATCATGATTCTTTTTTTTCAATAGTTTTATGGGCACAGAATTTATATATCATACAATTGAATAGTTCAATTATTCAATGATATCAAGGGGCATTGTACAATCACCACCACTGCATGACTCATTCTTAATTATAATGGGAATGCTTCTGGGATTTCACCATTATATGGTGAAAATAGCTCTGGGTTTGAGATACATGTATTTTATACCATCAAATAAGTTTCTATGATTTTGTCATGTTTTTTCCATAGCTACTGAGATGACCATGTTATGTCTTTGACTTATTAATATTGTATGATAGATTAAGTTACTAGATCTCCTAGTATTTAACCATTTTTATCTTGCTGACATAAATCCACTTAATCATGGCATACATTATTTTTTTAAAAATTATTGTTGGGTCTTGTTTGTTAATATTTAGATCTACTGTTTTTGCATTAAGGTTTAAGACAGGGACTGGTCTTTTTTTTTAATGCTTTGAAATCAGTGACTGATGGTTTAATAAAAACAAATTGTATTTTCATTTTCTGTTGTATTTTTTAAGCCAGGCAGTATGTGTGTATGTTCATATAAAATCAGTCTTTAAAATAGTAAAATCCTTCTGTGTACATACAAAAGCCATTCCCCTTATAACAGAAAAAAAAGGCACATATAATCTTCACAGATT